AAAGCAAATATTTTGAGGATGAGGGCAACAAATGTACAAATGTGCTTTACACAATTGATGTATGTATGGATTGTGATAAGAGTTGTATGAGCCCCGAATAAAATGATTTTCAAAAGAGTGTTGAAGGTTAAGCCTCCGGGATCGGACTAACCACATCAACTTGCAGGGAAAATAATCTTGTTTGTGTCCTAATTGAAAAGGGCAAATGACTAAAGCAGAAACAATGTTCAAAACCATAGGCTTTTTCATTCGTTTGGCTTACACCATTCTGACTGTGAAATTAAAGTGGAGCAAACTTTACACTTGATAGGCGGCAAAACAGTGTGCCTACATATAATATAGATGAGCGGAATTTTTAAAAAGTGGGAGCAAGATCTCGAAGCATCTCTTGGATGAACTGTACAGGAAACGAAATGCTTCTTTACCTGGATGATTTTAAAGACAAAGCACAGTCAAAGCAATAGCAACCAAGAAGGGCAAGCAAAAGTTGACCAGCTAAGAACATAGGTCATGACAATAGTGTTTTCTGATGCTCAAGATTATCTTGTTGACTTTATGGAGGGAAAAGGACGATGATGTTTATGACGACAGTGTTTTGAGAAAGTTAGCCAAAGCTTTAGCAGAGAAACACCCAGGAAAGCTTCACCAGAGAGCCCTCCTTCCCCATCAATGTTCCTGTTTATTCCTTTCATCAAACAAGAGCAACTTTGCAAGTTTCTGTGGGAAATCTCTGGCTCCATGACTTCCTTTTGTTTACCAGTCTTTAAAAAACCTTTAGTCAATAATGTAAGAAAAAGTGCATTGTCAGGTTACATTCCCAGGACCCTGGGAACTAACTTTTAACGTCCCTTCTGAAAATGAGTTTAAATTCTTCAGGGATGGACTAAATGGCTATTTGCATCTCTTAAACGGCATCTGACCTCAATGGAACTTATACTGAGAAATAGTTTATATTATTATTTTTATCTTTTAATTCCACTTTCCTACAAATTTTTTTAAGTACCCCTGTATGTCAAAGGGGGAAAAAAACACAGAATGGAAATTAGATGATACTGAAGTTGTACATTAATGACAACACTATGACTCAAGCCTCCTGGGGCACCATTTTGGGGTACGGCAGTGGCGTATTGCTGGATGTTCCCACATCTTCATAAACATCATAGAGTCCTTTAAAGTTCTGTCACAGAGTGAGACCACTTTCTAAACTGTTCTCTTTCCCCCACTTCCTCTCCCTTGCTTGTCCTTCTCGAGGACCTGCATAGGGTTCTAAGGGTGCTTGTTCTTTTTTTATTTTAACTCTTTGTGAATTAGGTGAAGATTTACAGAGCTTATCAAGAGCTTTACAATCAATAGTCATCAAACCTCCCACCATCTTGGCATTTCTATTATTTGTGCCCATCTTCCTCTTGTTGGACATTATCTTCCTCTTCACCCAAGTTAACACCTATCTAGCCTCTAGCCTGTCACGTTCCTACTCCCTCCTTCTCCCTCCCACCTCTGGTAGGCATTAAAATCTGTTTCTTTTAGTATGACTAGGGTGCTTCTTTCATATGTATGTAACAAATTACAAAGAGGTTATTTAAAAACAAATTGTGCGTTGCAACTAAAGGATTACTGAATACAAAATATGTGCATTAAGCCCCTGAGACCCAGCAAAAAAGAAAAATTTTGAAGACCATGAAGCTAAATGACTCTTACACAAAATAAGGGGAGGTAAGGATGTCTGTCAAATTAGACAAAAAGCTTGGCAAAGAGAACACTTTCACTTAACTCAGGTTTCTTTACAGTTGTCTATTTGCTTCCGCTGTCTATTCTTTGTCAGAAACAAGTAACTCAAGAGGGGAGGGAGGCCCTGGCCTCATTCAGGCTTGCAGAACTGGGCTTCAGCACCATCAATTCAGGCAGACTCCCTAAGTGCCCCTTCTCTCCTTGCCCCTAAAATGGCTGGGCCTGCTCTTTGGACCGTCTGACACCATACTAGTTGTCACTGATTTGACCCTGTCTCCAAGTATTACGTAAGTAAAACTGCGCACAGGGTTTTCAAGGCCATGGCATCCTTCAGAAGAGTCCAAGTCTTTTTCTTTCAAGAGGTCTCTGAATGAGTTCCAGCTCCCAAGCTTTGGGCTAGTAGTTGAGCATTTACAGAATGTGCCACCCAGGTCTATCTATATACCAGACATTCCTGAGTATTTTATTTTATTTTGTTTCTTATTCACCTCTCGCTTTAATGACCTGCAAACTTCTTGAAATGAACAGACATTGGCTGAATCTATTTGGATTAAATAATAATCTAAACAAAAATGAGATTGACAAAGATGCAATGATATGAAAAGTTATCCAAGATAAATTGTTACACAAAGGACAAGTTGCGTGTGTGGAGGTTTGTGGGGCAGACAGGCACACACTCATTGTTCATAAAGTGTCTGTACACAAACCACTGGCCGGTACCTCCAGGGACAGGGAAGAGAACTGGAAAGTAAAAGAATATGGCTTTTCACGTTGCATGGCTCTCAACAGTTTTTGTAATTGTGCCACATTATTTTTACACTTAAAAAAAGTTAAGCTGTTTTCTTTTGTTCAAATTAGCATTTTGTTTTAGGAGAAAATTAGAAATGTTGGTTTTAAACCTAAGTGTAAGTTAGATTTTGTGTTCACAGAATTGAAGTCATTTTCAAATGTGCGTAGTTGGCCCACAGTATCTGACGGGATTGGTTTCAAGACCCCCACTGGCCTTAGAATACCCAAATCTGGAGATGATCAAGTCCCCTACTCGTTGCATGCTGTATTCTTTAAACCACCTGGCACATTACTTACAATACCTCATACAATGTAAAGGCAATGCAAGTAGCACTTTATAATCCCTTAGTCTTTGAGTGACTGCTTTGATCATTAGCATTTCTTGCGCAGACATACACAACACACAGAGGAAACTAATGCGCAGAAGGACTGCAGTTAACACCGTATAAGGTGTTATATGCATAGTATGCAACCAATGCTTTTTAAGAGCTCCACCCTGTCTCCCAACAGTTTTGAACCCTGGTAGGATGCTGGCTGTACAGTGAGACCTGTTAAAGTCAGAACTTGACAAGACTGTCTTTGGGTCTCACGGATTTTCCATCTTTGATAGAATGCAGTCTTAAAACATTTCTACTACTTGTTTTAGTGGAAAATATTTGAGCTTTCCTTCTCTGATAGATTTCCAGCTTACACAGGTTCCCCACAGGTCTGCCTTTTGAAGATCTTACTCTCATTCCACAACTGAGATGTTGAAAAACACAATAGAATTAGCACATGTTCAAAGTAGTATTTTTAATTGAAATATTAGAGTGCTATTTACAGTATATTCAGCATAGATAACCATTATTTCTAGACCACAAATTCCTCCATTTTGCAAAAAATGTTCACTCTTGGGGATGCAGAATAGTACAGTGTTGGGTGGACAAGCTTTTAAACCACTCAAACCTGAGCTAAAATCCAGTCTGTTATTAGTCAGCTAACCCGGGGCAATTCCTCAACTTCTCTAGGCCTCAGTTTCCTCATCAGTAAAACAAGAGTAATATGGTCTGGTTGTTAAACTCTATACCAGTGTATGCTAAGTGTGTGAACAAGCATTGCTTTGATTGATGGCAATCATTCATTACTTCAAGAGTGGATTTCTACTAATTGGGATCATGCTAAAATAAAAGGCAGCTATATCAAGCCAATCTGACAATGGACCCAATCACTCCTTGGGGAAGTCAAGCCTCTGGGAACAAGAGTTTTCACCAATGTTGTGATGTTTAAAGAAAACGGAAAACTTTGTCATTAGCTCACACCTGGAGAGCCACCCTTCCCACAGCCATGGTGTAAATTACACTTGACTTCGACTGACCAGAGATGAGATCTCTTCTTGAATCACAGATCAGAGTCTAACATGAGTCAGGGGCAAATATTCAGGTATACACTTTTGCAAATGGATTAGATTTGCAAGTTTTTTTGGTCTTGATTACATTTGCATGTTTTGTTGCCATTGTTGTTTGGTTTTTAAAAAAATCCTGCATATGTTTTAGGGGCCCTGGTGATACAGTGACAAAAGTGGTTGGATGCTAACCAAACCTAGTAGCTGATCTGCAGTGGAAAGATAGTCTGTTTAGCATTCATGTGTCAAAGCACTGCAATCAAAATCTCCCAGGGAGTGTTACAGCTACCTAGGATTTCAAGCAGATTGTACACTAGAAGCACCAACATGACCTGGTCTATCACAGTTTTACAACCCCTAAGTGGTTGGTATGTTTAAGAAAAGTTGAGATTTCCCCCAATTAGAGGAATTCGAATATAATTTTGCAAATAAGGCAACTGAGGCCTTAGGGGGCTGAAACTGATGTTCTTGTTTTGGCTTTCATTTAAATACGCCATTTCTTCTCTAGGGTATTCCAAGAATGAAAGCAGAAAACTGAGTGACTTGTGTATGGTGTTTGAGCTGACAACCACTGGATGTACATACTTCCGCTTTTTTTTTTTTTTTAGACATACTTGTGCTTTTAAGGGTCCATTCATCACTCCTTGGCGGTCCACTCATTCCAAGAGGAAGGGACATTTGTTCATAGAGGGTCTCCGCCCTCAGGGACTAAGGCGGCAGGATGTTCAAAGCAACAGACGGTTAGGGTTGCAGCTCCGGCACCGGCCCCCTCGCCCCTGCACCCTCCCGACTAGGTGGCGCCTCCGTCAGGGGCCCAAGGAGGACAGCAGGCAGCAGGTGGGACCAGCCAAACCCGCCCAGGACACTGAGAAGTATGCAGGGCGTTGGAGAAGCCGCAACCTGCAGGCCCGCCCCTTCATCCCACTTACCCCGGCGTGATAAACCTTGTTCGCTCTTTTAATCTTGATGTCCAGGGAGGTCCCCATCTCGGATTCTCCGCAGTGGACGCCACTTCCTGCCGGCACGTGACTCGGAGGGAAGAAAGCGCCCCTTCCCGCCTCCCCCCCCCCCGCCCCTTTCCACTTCTCAGCAAGCAGCTACGTCACGTGACCGCGCGCGTTACGCCGGGTCGACTCCCTGGTCCCGAGACCGTAGCGCCGCCCGCCTTCCTCCTTGCGGCGCAGGGGCGGGCCTTGGCGCTGACAGAGGGGCTGCCACTCTCCGCCCCGCCCCCTCAGGCTGAGGGTGGGACGAGACCGGCTCCACCCCTTTCATAAGGCCAGAGTCACGCCGGAAATAATCTCTATCGGCCCCGTGTAGGGGACGAGGGGGCGGAGTTCTCGCCTCTCCCGGCCTGCCCTGCGGCAGAGGGCAACGCTGTCGCTCAGGCGCAAGCTGCGCATGAAAACCGAGACTCCTGTCAGGCTGTGCGGCGCATGGAGAAGCTTGCACTAAAGACTTGGCTTTCAGGACGTCACAACTTCGGCCCTGGGTTCCAGACTGGGAAAAGTGCGAGCCGAGCGTTTCCCTGAGTACGTCCCCCCCCCCCCGAAATTCTCAAGGTTTCTGAGGTGCCAGCACTTCCTTAAACTGTCTTCGCGTCGCCACCGCTTCTAGCTCTTTCCAGGGGGGGGTTCCGGTCACCTGCAGGGCTCTCCAACCCCCGCCCGCCCCTTCCTGTCCTGAAGTCCGCTGATTGGCGAGGCGAGGCTGTCCCGCCCCCACCCGCCGGGCCGAGGCCGAGGCTCGGGAAGTGCCGGGTGACCTCGCTCCGCTCAAGCGGCGGCGCTGGGTCACCTACCAGCTCGGCTCCGTGGAGCCGCGGGGGGTTGTGGGTATTCCCCAGGCGCGCGTCCCGAAAGCGGGTGTTAAATATTCATATCCGTGCGCCTTGCGCTGGAAAACGGGTAGGGGCCGCTCTCAGTCCTTGAGCCTGGAGACTGCTTGAGAAGATAACCAACAATTGCCTGTTCTCCCTGCAACACCGAATGAAGAAGACACTGGGTAGACATAGATCGGCTTTTTAAAGCTACTCCCGTCCAACTGGGCAGTCGTGTTAGGCAACATAGTATATTTAATTAAATGAAATCCCTTATAAATGCTTTTAAGCAAGGATTTTAATAATTAGAAAGGTAAAATATTCATAATTTTGGTGACAGGTTTAATTAAATAAGTGGTCCAGTAAAGCAGTGTTTTTGTTAAACTTATTTTTTTTTTTAAATCATGCCCTACGATTAGGATTACATCAGAAATTTTCAGTAAAACATATTTATGCATTGGTGTCACGCACGAACGCCTCCCTTTTGAAAATGTAAGCTTTTTATTATTTTTAATAGGACGAGAGTGGTGGTGCAGTGGTTTTTGAAGGATGCTAAATACAGTATTTCCCCAATATTCAGGTCGCAGTTTGCAGCTATTCGCTACCCTCAGGGCTTCCATCTCTATCTAGGATATCCTCTTGGCAACTTAAATTTAACGATTATGAAACAACTCATTAGGGACTTAATCATCCTGTCTATTCTGTTTGCAATTCCAGAAGTAGATCCCTGCCCACTAGATTCACCCATCATTTTCAACTGGTTAAAATCAACCACAAATCCACATTCTAGATTGCTTCTAAAACTTGCTTTATATTTATTTCCCAACAGAATGTTCCTTACTCGTCAAGAACAGGTGTGCCATATTTTGCTTATCTTTGTAGGATGGATTCTATATTTAGAGAATGTTGGTGGCTGCACAGAACTTTGGTTCCAGCATTTATCAGTAAAATCAGCTGATTGAGACCTCTTAATCGGAGGGCTTCTGTGTTAGCCTGGGTTCTCTAGAGAAGAAAATCTAGTAGTGTGTGTGTGTGTGTGTGTGTGTGTGTGTGTGTGTGTAAGATAGCAAGAAAGAGCTCACAGTTATAGTCTGTGGGTCAGATGGTAACTTGAAATTTCTCCTGACTTGTTTAGTGTTGTGGGCTGATGAACAAGGAAGCAGGAAGACCACAGGCTGGTGGATGCAAAGTTGAATGAATCCAAGGTCAGTAGTCCACTGATAGCGCCTGGGTTCAGTGGCAATATGACAGGAGGTCAACTACTATATTCAGGATTCAGACCCAGGGGAAGTGAAGCTTTCCACAACCCTGAAGAGTCTTCCAGCTGCATCGGGCTGTGATCTAATCCAGGAGGCTCAAACCCACCATAGTTGCTGATTGCTCACAGGATTGATTAAGGTGTGCTAGAGACTAGAATGGAGTTGCTTATGTAATGTTAGATGCCATCATGGGAGATTACTACTGATAACCCTGACCTAACTCCGTTGATTTCTGGCTTAGTAGTTCAAACCCATCATCTACTCTTCAGGGCAAAGATAAGGCTTTATTCTCTAAATATTTACATTCTTGGAAACCCGTATGTGACAGTACTCCATCCGATACTGTCACTATAAATCACAATCCCCTGAACTATAGTGGGTTTGATTATCTGGCTCTGTTAACTGATCTTTTGAGTCTTGATGAAGTCTGGCCATTCCTAACTTAGAAGGAGCATTCTGACTGTATTTCTTCTAAGACAGATTACATTATCTTAGATTACAAGATGTTGATTGTTGCATAACTGCCAGATTACTTTATTATGTAATTATACAATAACTAATACTGCCAAATCTCTGGATTCATGATGCCACCAAATCGACCCCAAACCATAAGCATCGCAAGGCCTGACGGACATGTTTCCAGAGCTGCTTGGAGTATTGAACTCAACAGCTCTCAGTTTCCACTCTACAGAACTTGTCCTCAACTAAAGAAAACTACCTTACATCGAGGTCATGCTCCCTTCTAGTAGACAGTCCATATGTAAAGACTGGTTGAGTTAGTATATAAAAACAAATCCATCCCTATCACCCCAGTTCAGGATAACTCCAAAGAACCATTATGGCTTCAAAGCTCTATGTACTTGTTACCTAATAATGCACAGCACATTGTGGGAAACAGATTTCTCCCAAGTTGTCTCCCCCAAATATTTGCCAAATTTAGCTGCTTGCTACACATGGTAAATGACTATACACTTGGAGGTCAATGAAAGTAGGTTAGAGGTTATTCTCCCTAAAGGTTATCAGCCATCTAGAGCAATCAGACTGTATAGTCTGTCCCACTATAAGTAGGGCCCACTCCCTTCCGATAAGGATAGTAGATTGTTTCTCTGAAGGAGAGTCTAGGGAGGTCAAGCCCACTCAAGGATGACCAAGGTCAGGCTGGCATATTGAGTCTAGGGTCACATGTATACCCCTAGTCCTTCCCCTTCCTAGTATGCCTTTAACCCTAGCACATTCCCTTCCTGTCACACTTATGCCCATTGTATTGTATTGCCTATTGCACAACCCCTTCCTGTGACATATGTCCTTACCTGTAATTAGGGGGCATGCACGCCCCCAAAGATATATAAGCCTGGGTTAGCAATAAATCACTCTCTCCCCTCCTCCCTGCCCTCGCTGTGCACAGACCTGCCTGTTGAGATCATGGCCATCCAGGAGGTGAACATACTACCATGAAATGTGTCTGACTTCTTTATTTTACTGCCATCTCTCCCTATTCTCTATGACTTTACTATTATCTTTATATTTCTCAACCATACAATTGTGCTTACTGAACCCATGATTAGTTGTTGGGGGCTGGCTTTCCTGCAACACATTACCTAAAACTTCAGTAGTTTAAAACAACTTACATTAATTACCTCATTGTGTCTGTGGGTCAGGAACTTAAAGTCAGTTTTACTGGTGGTTCTGGCTCAAATTTTCAGGTGTTAGCAGTGAAGACATTGGACAAGATTATGGTCATCTGAAAACTAGATTGTGGCTAAAGAGTCCCATTGCAAATGGCTCCCTTTGTGGCTGAATTCAGGAGGCTTTAGGTCCACACTATATGTGCTTCTCCATAGGCTGCTTTAACAGACATATCCAGCAGGACAGAATTTGCAATGCCTTTTATGACCTAGTCTCTGAAGTCTCACACTGCCACTTCTATTTGTTAGAAGAGAGTTACTGGATTCGGGCCATATTCAAGAAAAAGGGAATTTTCCTTTACCATGGAAGAAAATGTCAAGAATGTATGGACATCTGTCTTAGTTTGATGGTGCTGTTGTAATAGAAATACTGCACTTGAGTGGATAAAAAATATATATTTGTTTTCCTCACAATTGTGGAAGGTGAAAATCCAAATTAGGGTCTCAGCCTTGTACATTTCTTACTTGGATATAGCCCCAGGTGTTCCTTTATTGGTTAGTTTATAGATTGTCCTCACATGGTGCCTATCTTCCTCCATATCTCCTTGTCTAATTTTTTAATAAACTTTCATAAGTGAACAAATTTAGAATCAATCTGACTCGGGTATGAGCTAATTAACATAACAAAGGCCCGGTGTCCCAAAGGATTACATTAACGGATATAAGGGTTAGGAATCCAATTTTATTTATTTATTATTATTATTAAATCATTTTATTGGGGACTCGTACAGCTCTTATCATAATCCATACCTACATCCATTGTATCAAGCACATTTGTACATTTGTTGCCATCATCATTCTCAAAACATTTGCTTTCTACTTGAGCCCTTGGTATCAGCTCATTTCCCCATTCCCTCCCTCCCTCATGAACCCTTGATAATTTATCTTTTTTTTCTCATGTCTTACAATGACCTCTGTCTCCTTTTACCCACTTTTCTGGTTTTTGTTCCCCTGGGAGGGAGTTATGTGTCGATTGTTGTGATTGGTTTCCCTCTCTCCCTGCCACCTTACCCTTACCCTCCTGGTATTGTTATTCTCTTTATTGGACCTGAGGGGTTTATCTGCCTTAGATTCTCTGTGTTTTGAGCTCTTATCTGTAGCAATATACATGCTCTGGTCTACCTAGATTTGAAAGTTAGAATTGGGGTCATGACAGTGTGGAGGAGGAAGCATTAAAGAATTAAAGGTAAGTTGTATGTGTCATCAGTGCTCTACTGCACCTTGACAGGCTTTTCTTTTCCTTGTGACCCATCTGTAAGAGGATGT